AAACAATGCAGAACACCAATTTTAACTCTTCAAATTCTTTTCTAGCATCACTTGTTTAAATGTTACAAGTTCCCATATACCTGTAGAACACTAACAAAGGACTCCTTCCTATCTTAGCTGTCTAGAGCAGCAGTCACCTGGTAACGGAGTGGGATAAGTAGGAGAGGTAGGAGAAGAGGTCATCCTTCAAGGACAACTTACTGATGCATTTAAACCACAGTTTTTATAGTCAGAACTCAACACGTCCTTTGTGTGACTGTAGAAAGCTTCAGATTCCACAATTTTATTTTGACAAGCTTCACTTGTCTCAAGATATACCATTGAATTTCACTAGCTTTTGCGATGAGATATCAAAGTAGAATAAATGTTCCCTGAATTATTTTATACATGCAGTACAAAACGATTAATTATAACCTGAGTAATAATGTATTAAATATAATAATCACTGCATACACAGGGCAAAAACACTACTCAGGCTAACAAAATATAGAATACTGTATGACGACTGCCTCTGTGTAATTCATTTATACCATTGTATTGACCATCACCCCAATCAGATATGGCAAATCATCCAAAGACTAAGATGGACACAACAGCCTGGCTACATATTAAAGAGTATGAGCACTATTGCAGTATGCAGAGACCCTTGCATCACTCCTGAAAAATCTAAAAGTTTGACTTTTTAGATCTGAACATTCTCTACCCAAACACTGAAAGCAATTACAGTCTGCAAACACATAAAACCATCAAAGCCATTTTGTATTTATACATTAAATTTTATATTTTCATATGAATATTTGTACAGCCTGTAAAAGCTCTTAAGAAAATTGTGTATATTTGTAATAAAATGCATTTTCTACTAGTTTTATATGTACATTTTGTAAATACTTAAGTTATGCAGTTCTCGCACTGGATATGAATCCAAAAAGCTTGTATGGTACTTATTTGTATTTTGAAATTATGAGTTTGTAAGCGCTACAGATTTTGTTTCAGCCCAAATAGCACTAAACCTGTCTAACAAAATTACAAATATTTTTATGATATAAAAGTGCATTTTAGTTTACTATCGTTTCATAGAAAATTGTGTGTATTTTTTAAACTTTTCAAAATATTAAAGAGTTTGTAAAAATAAACGTAGTTTTAGTCTCTCATGCCTGCTGATCATGATTCAAATGTAATTTTATATTTATAAAGAATTAGCAAAAATACCTATGCCCTCATAATTGCCTCCTGTGATCCCTTGCACAGCAGCACTCATACTGGGAGTGAGAGGGGTGGCACTTTGGGCTAATCAGAGCTCTACTGCTTTACACAGCTCTATGAACAGCTTAACCATATTTACAGGAGGACAGAGCAAAGTGCACTGCATTGGCTTCACTGTCGTGTCAGCAGGCTTGATGAACAGGCTTTATTGCTTAATGTAGAGAGGACACCAACTTGGCTATACTTTCTAGTAGAAATTCCTGGATCACAAATCCGTCTGAACACATATACAAATTCTTCGGTAAGTAAAATCTATGCATATCGGCTGTGTATTTAGACTATGTAGGAAGTCAACAAACTTACTCATGGGATGCAGTCTACCTGCTCTAATTTTTCTTTTGGCATTTTTCTTGCTCTAGTTTCTGCCTTCATCTACATCTCCTAACCCACTAAACACATCTTGTGTTAAAAAGGGCTGCAATGGCTATTTAAAATAAATCTGTCATATGAGATACACAAGGACAGCCATTTCTTACCTCCTGTTATGTTGACCCACTTGTTTCCATACTTTCCAAGTCTCAGATCTGGAACAAGTATAGAGATCAGGAAAGTTGAGGAAATGTCAGAAGTCCTGATCTGCATACACGCTTTGGGTAAATAAAAAAGGTATTGAAGCTAAAAGGTTCAGCATGGTAAATAGAAACCAAAAAATTACAGAAGAAGTAGACAATGAAAGACAGACTCTATAGGGCTGATTTATTAAAGGCAAAAAGCTGTTCACTTTGCAAGGGAATTTTCACATGGCAGGGGAAATTTCCCCTTAGTCTGTGGCGAAATTTCGCTTTGCAAAGAATACCCAATCATGTGCAAGGAAAATGTCAAAAAACAATATTTTAATATTTTAGCTTGTACATGATTGGATGATGTAAGTCAGCTGAGCTTCACTATATTCACTAAACGAAGGGAAACCTTTCCCTTTGTCTAACTTAAGCAGATGATACCTTAATGTATGAATGAAAGGTTGATGTAAAGAAACACACCCAGCATGATCAATAGATCTACTAAGATAGGCCAAAAAACAAACAGACTTACTTTCAGTTGTCCACCTTTCCGAAGTGAAGTGAAATTGGGTAATTGGCTCCTGTCTAAATTAGCCCTCATATGTATGCATACCTTAGATTGTAATCTCCCTGCGAGCAGGGACTGATGTGAATTTGCAACTATGTAAAGTTATGCGTAAATGGCCGGTGCTATATAAATACCTGTAATAAATAAATAATACACTAGGCTGTGTCCCTTTATTCCTACAGGACAGAAAAAAACAGGGGAGATAAGTTAAAGCAGTCGAAAGCCAGTCGAAAGGGGAGGTGAAGTGGACCTGTTGCTATGCTTAACATGAGAAATGAATTTCATTTTAATTGAGCTTTCCAACTTTCCTGCTCTGTTCTTTGAATAAGGCTTGTCTGTGTTTCCAGAACTGAGATATGTTGCTTGGATATCCCATAGTATTGTCCTTCTGCAGCCACTACCCTACATGAGAACCTTTTGGCTGCCTGAATTTTCGGCTAACTACTGTATATGTCAGTTAGAGTTAAAGAAAGCACATTTTATTGAACCCCATTTTCTCACATCTGTGGCTTAGAAAGTAATCCACAACGCTAACTCCAAGATCCTTGAAGAAAGTAGGTACCTAAGCGGCACAGCAGTAATGTTTGAAGACTCCTTAATCACTATAAAAGAATATTCAGCCTTGGTGGTGCATTAATAGCGATCACCATGGTTATGCTACAGGCAATGGATGGTGCAATTAATGCTTGGCAAAACTACAAATGTATTATAAACAATGACTGATACAAATCTATATGCAGTTATTTAATGCAACTGTACACACCCCATAAAACTAATATCTCTAGACCGGAATGTACAAACAGTATGCAACTAAGCAGTCAACAAAACAGAGTGGCTGGGAATTAGGTAGATGAAATTAGTGTTAAAAATGAAACTGTAATAGTCTGGGATTTCTTTTTTCACTGTTTATATCATTTTTTTAAAAAATAAACTATTTTTTGTACAACTACATTAGTTTCACAGGATATAATTTTTTTTCTCGTTTGCACTTCTCTGACTCATAAAGGGGAATGTGTAAAGTGGAATTCAAGCTATTGAACACTATAAAATCCAGGCTTTTTTAAGCAGAGGAACCAAGGTCAGGCAGCTACACATGCCTAAAGAAACCTAGAGCCTGAAAGTATAAAAAGGAAATATTTATAAGCAACCTAAAAGCCAAGGATCATAGTCACCCAGGTAAAATAATCAAAACAATTGTGACATTTTTATTTTTTTAGACCTAACCCTAAGAAAATATATGCATAGTCACTATAAATTTCCTGTTCCACGTCACCCACTGCTCACATTGTGCTCAAGTAGCTAAAAATTTCAAAAGCAACAATTTGTTATTCTTGAGGGAGCATTATGGTTTGCAAAGGGAACATATCAATTCATAAATTGGATGGATTTAAAACCATTGGCAACACAACTTGCCCATTTTTACAAGAAACTTGCTTATTGATTATTTTACAATGTACAACAAAGTTAACAGACACCAATCACAAATATATCATTTTGAAAACAGACTTTTTTTTTAGTTTAGCAATATACAAAAATTGAAATATTTTGCAAACAGCACACAATAAGAAATTTCATAGACTCTGGTATGGAGCAACATATATGGAAGTCCACTGGTTACTAGCAATACCTCGCAATAGCTGAGATTCTGAAAGGTCTGTGAGGTCACTCTGGACCCAGAGGAAGGCAAATAAAAACACTGGAAATGCTTCAGCTAATTACATGTCAAAAAAAAAAAATATTCTGGTTTCAAGTACAGCCATTGCTTCCCAACCTACAATATATTTTGTGCATACTCCTCCACTTTTTCTTCTTGTTTTGATTACTACTTATGCAGGCAGATACGTGAAGGTAGTCAGTCATTGATAAATCAACCAATTCTGATGGACAGATGCAGATGAA